CAGCCCCTCTCGCTCAGTTTTTGCGCTCGCTCGCAATGTGTTGCTCGCGCTCTCAACATTTCTACCCGTGTGCACTCTGTGCTCTGTCTCCCATGCGTTCAGCTTTTCTTCGCTCAAAATAAATTTCTCCTCAAAATGCAACACTTGCACCTGCAAAAAGTTTTTACGTGCACTCAGAATAGTGGCACAAAAATAACACCATAGAAAACCAGCATCTTAATATGAACTGTGATGACACTTTTTACTTTTAATTTAAGGTGTAAATGCACCAAAAATAAACCAGTGTGAGACCTTGGTGTTACTCACTGCTCCACTCAAACGTCTCAACCAGAACAAACCGCAGAGGTAGGACGAGCTGCGACGTGTGCGACGAGCTGCGACGTGTGCGACACGTGACGGCAAGAAAGAGTCCTTGAAACAGTCATTTAAGATTCAAACTGCAGTTTGCTCCCGAAACTGCTTTTATCCAAACAGTTTTTCATCCGTAAATATTTTGTCTTTATTGTCGTTCTTCTAAAAATGTCAAAGTTGAATTGAACAGCTGAGGAGACGAGCTGACGGACTCTCGTCTCTGCAGGAGCTCTACAAGACGACGGAGGAGCTGGAGGTGAACAAGGCCGACAAGCAGATGGTCGAGAGTGAAATCGTGAGTTGGCTCATTTTAACCATTTTGCTGTCCTCCCAGGAGCCCAGCATGAGCAGAGCTCTCTTTTTTCCTCTTGTACTTTCCCATTGTAGTGTACATTTCAGTGTTTTTCTGTAACGCTACTGATCTCCAACCTGTATCATCATGTGATGTCTGTGTTGTGTGTGTAAGGTCGGGGGGGGTCCTATTTCACTGCAGGGCAACCTGCACGTGGTGAATAAAGCCTTGATTGATTGATCGATTGATTGAGACGTGTGTGAGGCGACTGTTTCAGGACACCTGTCGGCCTCCGCCTTCTCGCCGTTGACCTCCCAATTCTCCCTCTGTGCCCGTAGAGAGCAGACAAATCGGCCCTGGAGGGGAAAGTGAGCCGGCTGCAGCTGGACTCGGTGGCGGAGCAGCTGAGCGGGATGTTCCACGAGCTGCTGAACAAGGTGACGAGTCAGGAGCAGGACTGGCACAAACTCATGAGCAAGCTCTCCACCGAGATGGAGTGTAAGGTAGGAGAGCAACATCGAGTCACGCCTGCAAACTCAAACTGATCTGAGATCAGAGCTCAGAGGGAAGGGTAATGGGTTTAAATTTAAAAACATATTTTGTCTTTAAATCGTGACGACATCTCTGCTACAGCTGTGACAGAAGGTAAAACAACACGCTGCAGTGTTGGAGATTTTACGCTTCGGTCATAACAGGCATCACATCGCTGTGTGATGTAGGGTTTTCAACACCACAGGAGCATCTGTTAAAGATCTCAGACTGTGTCTATATGTCAGCTTGGGTCTTAGGCTCCGCCTCTCTGGGAACATCTCAGGCCCTCCGAGGTACGGAGGCCCGTCTCCCCTCACCACACTCCCTGCCGGTGGCTGATGCCCTCAGACGTTGGTGTGTTGGTGGTTCTTGGTGTCTGGGGCTGGGCGCTCATGTATGTACCGACTCACTCCTGGTGGCTGATTGGCGGGGTCTGGCGCCTGTGGCCCGGCTGGGCTCCTTCCAGGGGGTGGGGTGCTCTCAGGCCTCTGGACCTGAGGCTCCGTCCTCTCTGGCACAGCTGGCTGCTGGCAGAGCCGGCGGGCACGTCACTGCAACCCCTCTGGCCTCTGCTCCATGGCTGCTGGGTGACCTCTTGTTTGGGGCTCTTCTCAGCTCTTCCCAGGAGGGTGGCATGGTTGCCCCCCTGGTGGTCCTCCTTGGGTCCTCGTATTTTGGGGCCTGGATCTCCTCCATACCTGCTTCATGCCCTGGGGGCGGGGCTATGTCTCCCCACACTCCCTAGCAGATCGTTACATGGAGGAACCTTCTGAATACAAGCGTGCTGATCCACACAGGTGTGCACAGACACAAACTACACCTTTCTTGGCTGCTGCCTCAAAGCACATTGTGCGCTGCACTCTAAAAAGTAATTCAGAGGCTTTTAGTAAATCTCACTATAAATATAAGTTAGATGAGCCTGATAACATCTATGAATGTCCTTTTAGTAATTATTTGAGTTTGATAAGTTGAAATAAACGTGTTAACGTGTGTGTTTGTGTTAAATTAAGGTATTTATTTACATTTATCTCAGACAAAACATTCAGTATGTGGTTCACAGAATACCTGCTTTACATGTACTTAATATTGTTGTTTAAAATTTAATAAAATATTTGAGAAATATGTATCTATACTCATCAGTATCTTGTACTAAAATTCAAATCAATATTATTTATTGTCAGCAACTACAGCTGAAAAGTGTAAGTAAAACACGATAACGTAGAGTAATTGAGTACCATGAGCCTTTTTCATTGTTCTGTTCATTTTGTTTTTTAAATACTCTGAGCGTTTGTGTTTGCGCTCCTGGTTTGACATTTATCCTTCACGTATGTGAGGCTGTGAGCTGAAAGGAAAAGGCTCTTGTCTTTTTAGTGCTTGTTTATTTTGATTTTTTGCCGTTTATGAAAATTAAAATTTAGTTTGGAAACATGTTTAACATGTGGTCATTTTTCATACATGTATTATGAAAACACAACTACATATTAGTTTGTTTGGTTTTTCAGACTTAGACTACCAGTGAAATACAATAACATTCATATTTGAATATTTGAATCTTGTAATCGGAAGGTTGCCGGTTCGAGCCCCGGCACCGACAGTCT